CACGGTACTTTCAGTGCCCGCCGAGTTCCATGTTACACCATTGCAGGCAGCAGCGTTGGCATTCGGGAAACCCGATTAAAAATCCACGAAAAAGATCTTTACGCCCAGTAATTTAAGGTCAAGAGGACCATGATCTCGGCGGTGAATAAAAATTATTTATTTGCGTGGGGCGGCAATTAGGTGGGCGGGGCTCGTCTGCGTGTTCGACCTCTCGACCCGTGCGCCCGCGCCCGCCGCGCCGCCCGTGGACACTCGTCCTGTCACGCTGACGGACCAACTGAAGAATTTCGAAATTGCAACTCCTCGCCCTCGCGGACACGACTAGGGCATGGAATACCGGAATGATTTTCATACCGGTATTGATACCGGTATTAGACTTTCAAATACCGGTATACCGGTATTTCGGTATTTTTTCAGTATATTTTGAAATTACTGCTAAAAACAGTAACTACTGTTTAAATAATTTAAAGAACGTTTAGTAAGTCTCCAAAGTAAAAACACTGAAACTATTCACTCCCTAGAAATCAAAAAAATAGTAGGTAATTAATGTAAGGTTATTAATTAAGACATACTAAAGAAAATACGTTCTTTGATCCTAGTATCGTTCATTTATTGTTTAATTGGCACAAATATCGGAATCAGCTCTCTTATAATAATAGAACTTATAACATGTAAGTTACAAAATTTTCAAACAAAATCAAATTACAAATGATGTTACTTATTTTAAAATTATTTTTATGAAAGGTGCAATTCAACTTAAATCTCAATCAGGTAGATCGCGTTTGTTGTAAAATTGAACGAAGAAAACACGATGCGTCCAAAGTTGCGTCGTTCAACGATGATCTTATTTTGTTACAAATGTAACTTGCAGATGAAAACGCCCTTTCTGATTCAACGCTGGTGGGAGGAATGCTTAATAGGTACTTGTAAGCTGCATCCAAAAATCTGCCTCTAGTACCTCCATTTTAAAAAGCTGGTGGAGTTAGAGTAGTAAACAAACGGCAACGTGCTCTCGCTTCAATAATATCAGCAGAACTGACTGAGAAAGCCGCGAGCCGGCGGCGGGCGGAGGGAGGGGAAGGAAGTGGCGTGCTCGGCGTGCGCGTCACATGATTAGTGATGGGACTGGATACTCGAATCGTTTTGAATCTACCGATTATTTGAATCGATAGTTGAACCCTGGGGATGGACATAACATAGGCGAAGGCGTCCTTATATATACAACTGCTGGGTGTGGGTTCCATAACGTGTACAACTGTGCTGTGAAATATAAAAAACCGGCGAGTGGAACTCGCGCACGAAGGGTGCCATTGGAGAATAATATTCTTTATTTATTATTGATTTAAGAACCAATTCGGTGTGATAAATTAATAAAAATATTTTGCTAGCTTTCATAACGGCTGAGATATTCCAATTTTTGACACTTTGTTGTATCAGCGCCACTTAGAGGATAAAACTTGTAACAGGTTTTAGTATTTGTTTTTGTAACGGCAACAGTTGTACACATTCTGTGAAAATTTCAGATTCCTAGCCGCAGCGGTTTCGGAGATAGAGCCCGCTGACAGGCGGAGACAGCGTAGTCTACTCAGTCATACTCAGTCCTTTGATCTTTTGGTACCCTAAAAATATGTGTGAAAACGTATCAATGACTTTTAACAGCTGATATTGCAAAAATATAAAGCTTTTTTTTAAATACCGAAATACCGGTATTTTATCCTCAAATACCGGTATCAAAATACCGAAAAAATTGTCCGGTATACCGGTATTTCGGTATACCGGTATACCGGTATCCATGCTCTAGACACGACCTCACCTACTTTTATGTGTCGGTTGCATTTTTAAAGCTTTTCTTTCACTTTGATTAGTAGATACTCTTAAGTTTCTAAAAAAATATCTTTTGTTACAAATATAATCTTAACGCAACAAAAATTTTTATAATTACGTTTTATATGCTTGTCTGCCTTTAATTATGAATATTTTATTAATACTACATTACTCACATTTTTTATTACAATAAAAACTATACACACAACTCAAGCGGTAGACGATAAAATCTCTTCTGTAAATCTACCCGCCCAAAAAAAAATTATTTCTGTCATCGCTAATAGTGTAATCGCATATACGTTCCTCTCAAAATTAATCCTCTACATTAAAATCCAACTCAAAATAGAACAAATAAAGATATTCTAAAATATATTAAAAGTTATGAGTGTGTGAATTATTGTGCAAATGAAATCAACGTAAGAAAAGCAATACGACCAGCCAGCCAATATATCATATGTAAGTTTATCAAATTCTCAATGAGTCAGTCTTGGATTACTCCAATGCGAATGTCAATTTCGTTAAAATATCGATATCATTATTAGAGTTATTGGACCAAGGAATTTAATTTAAGTTGTATAATAATAATGATCTAGCAAGTTTTTTTGATGGTTACACGTCTATTATACAATTAGAATGGCAATTGGCTAATTCTATTTTAAAGTCGCCCCAAGAGATGCAATTACTGATACACGCAGTATCGGACGGCAACACCATTTATGCTCGATGCGCAAGCGCATTCTATGTTCGTTTCGACGAAAAGTGGGCGGCGTTACTGGAAATTAACCCGGCTCTACGCGTATCTGATGCGGTGCGCTCTTTAAGTACGGTCTTCTTTTTGTTTCGCACAGACCCCAGCCATGAAGACGATTAATTTGCGAAATACATAGCGCATTTAATAAACAACACTTATGCAATAGGTGGCCGGCAATCTCAATTTCTCTACTTTGCATATTTTTATTTTTAGTGTTCCGTACAAAGGTAAAATGGAATCTTTGTAGGATTATTCGGTGGTCTGTCTGTCCGTCTGTACAGCCGAATTTCTCTGAAATTACAGGATCAATTGAATTGAAATTAGGTACGTAAGTACAAGTCGTATACGTAGCTAAATAAATTATTGTATGGAATGTGGCAGCCTTTGTTTGGTAAGCTACAAAATTAAAAATTTTTAAAAGCTTGAATGAATTTGAATATTTTTTTATTCATGCGATTTGTGGAAAGAATAAATGTTATGTGATGCATCAAATGAAAGGCTTACTGTTACTAAAAAGTTTTTAAGTTATTAAGATAATAGACGAAAATTAACCATACCTATAATTGACCGGATGCATCCCCTTGAAATGAATAGGTTTATCGTACACAATCTGTACCAAAGTAGTTATTATAATAACTTTTTCTGTCTACTGTAAATGTATATGTAAACCCCTGTTCCCATATTTCCTTACTGTCGTCGGCGTCGCCATTCAATGCACATATATGTAATTAGTAACACATGGTTGCATAAAACGACAGAAATTTACTCTCCACCTCTCCGGTTCACTGGTATATCTTACGGCATTAAGTTGACCATTTCAATATATGTATCATATATTTTCGAGACAGTTTCGGTAACTCTATCAGTATCTTTCTAGTGTCGGACCAGTCATACGTACGTTCTTCTTAGTCTGTGGACCAGTTACTGTTATGAGAGAACTAGTGGCCGCCAGCCACTTCATCCGCGTTTTATTATTTCTTCGCTCCTAATAGTTGCAGCGTGATGTTATATAGCCTAAAGCCTTCCTCGATAAATGGTCTATTCAGCATACAAAGAATTTTTCAACTCGAACCAGTAGTTCCTGAGATTAGCGCGTTCAAACAAACAAACAAACTCTTCAGCTTTAAAATATTAGTATAGATTAATTGAATATGTACTTACTCTCTTTGAATTTCCTGAAGATTCTCTTCATCGCGTCGTCTTGCTCACGTTATCTATGGTTGTAAGCGTAACAAGGAGCCACAGATAAGGGGCACTTTATGGTAGACAGGTGTGCCGTGGCACGCGCGCGGCCTGAATGTATTATAGTGGCTGATAATTGAGCCCGGGGCACCGGCAGCGTCACGGCTGGGTGCACGCGCCGTACCGCTCTGGGGTAGATAAACCTCGCGAAACAATTGCATTCTGCTATTCAGTCCATGCATACTGCCATAACGAACTATAATAAAAACAGTGAATTGACTTGCTAATGAGTGTTAACGAAAGAACCTCCAGCAACTACGTATGATATAAACAATTTGTTTGCTCTTATTAACAATGAGGAACAAAAATAATAAAGTTATCGCTGTACGTACAATATACAAATCTACAAAATCTTTAATTTTATTACTAGTTAACCCGGTGTACTCTCTCACCGTTTAAATTAAACTTACCCAGGTAGTCCAGGGAAGATTTAAACTAGTTTGTGCACTACGAACATTTCAAAACCCAAATCAGCTATATCGGACCAGCCGTTCTCCAGTTTTAGCGAGACAAACGAACGGCAATTTATTTATATATATAAGTATAGATGATCTGAGATTAGGTCTTGTATTCTCGTAATCGCTGTCGGTACAGCTATAGGCACTGACTGAAGTTCAAAATCAAACAACTAATTAAACAAACTGTTATTTTTATACAAGTAACTGGTAATATACAGAGGAGGCATTATATTATAAATTATTTTTTCAGCAAAAGCTAAGTAAATATTATACTAGTGATCCCTAATTTAGGTGATTTTTATTTACCAGCAAGAACACAACAGAAGCCATACTTATGGCAGCGGATATGCGCTTGGTTTGACTTGGCATAGGCATCCTACTTCAAGCGCGACGAGCGCGTGATATACTAGAGTAAAAAATACACACCCGTCGAATATAGAACCTTTTTTTCGATTTTATAGCCTTCTAATGAAAATGAAATGCTTGTTAAAAAGGCTACGATCTCTTTTGTAAAGTTAATCATAGAGAACCTGTGTATCAATTAATCAATGTTTATTTTCATGTTAAGTTCTTGTCATTAGTAAAACAGCTTCAAATTTATTTTTATAATTCCTTGCATAGTTCTGATAAATTAAATAATTCTATGTAAGTATCGATAAGCCTAGGATAGTTGCTAAAGTAGGTAAATAATTTAAATTTATTAAGTTTACATAAAACAAATAACAATGTCGGGTCGTGTTAGCGACGCATCTAGGGAGATTCAAGAACGTAGTTTTAACGTATCAAAAATAAGCTTCGAAGAATCAGAATCGAAGACCAGTAGACTTACTGCCTATAATTTTATGTCAAAACGGGAAATCTATAGAGTCATAATGGACGGTGTCGATTGCACACCAGATAATATAGTAGATTCCGATTATGTCACAATGGAGGATACGTTTACACACGCCGCCTTCGAAACAAAGACGCGACAGAAAAGTGATTTGGTTGTGAAAGAGTCCAAATCTAGGACAAAGTCCGCCATAGATACGGGTATGAAAGTTTATGCGACCACCATCTCCCTTGACGACATCTACATCGATCATACATATAATACTGAAGAGGGATTCGTGTCGCAAGATATCGATTTAGAATTAGCACCGTCCGCATTTTATCTGCCTAAGGTTTATCCAGTCATGTCTTACCCACCCGAAATATTCATAGTGCTCAAAGAGACCGAAACACAATTCTTATTCGAATTACCCTCATTTTCTTATGAGAAAGGGACACCTGAAGCTAATACTGTTGAAGAAGAAAATGACTATTACCAGTATATAACCGTAGGAAAGGGTAGAAACAGAAAAATGGTAATAGAAGAAACTCAAACGAAAGAACGCGTCTCGCAATCTCGACATACTCTCGCGACAAGACCGGAGAAGAAAAACGCTATTGCGTTTGCGTCGATGTGGGATATGCACGATACTTACGCAAGATTAGCACAAATTAGGCCCCAAGAAGAACCAGACGAAATGGTATTGTACCAGTCAGCGGAACCTTCATTGCTACGTAAAAAGAAAACAAAAGAAATAACCGTAAGAAGAGGGAAAACATTTGACGAAATTGCTTCCACTTCAGAATTCATGGATGCAGTCCTTTTGGCTGAACGTGTGCTCTCCACTCTAGAGTATTCAAAGCAACAGAAAAGGTTTAGAGGTCTAATGCCAATGGATCCGTTGTCTTTAGAATTGGTTTACATTTACACAATGAAGCCATTATGGACCTTAGAATGCGAAGACACCATTAACAGGCCGATAACAAGTATATCGTTCAATCCTAGAAATGAAAACATATTAGCCGTGGGGCACGGAAAATTCGGACACGCTGAGAGTTACGATGGCGTTGTTGCCGTTTGGTGCACAAAGAACCCTTGTAAGCCAGAACGTTTATATCGTTTTGACGATCCACTCACGGCTGTTGCATTTTCTGAAAGAAATCCCAACTGGCTAGCGAGCGGGTTCACCAATGGCGATGTCCTCATACTCGACATCACTTCATATCCCGTCAAAAAGATAGCTCAAAGTAAACGAGATACCAATCCCTGCTTTGAACCGATTTGGGTGACGTCGTGGCGCTCTATGGAGGGGCAAACGGAATATGTTATGACCGCATGTCAAGATGGACGAATCAATAAATTTGTGAACACCAAAACTCACGACTTTATCTGCACTCCCATGATGCGTTTATCCACTGTAGAGGGTAAGATGAAAGGAATAGAAGCCGCTAAAGCGTGTTTGAAGGTGGACGTCCCTATAACGCGCAACCCGGCAGCCTTGTGCATGAAATGGCACCCAACTATTGATCATATTTACTTGGTGGGTACTGACGAGGGGTGTATACACAAATGTTCGACGCATTACTTGAACCAGCACATGGAGGTGTACAGGGCGCACGCGGGGCCCGTTTACAACATGGACTTTTCACCGTTCATGAACACCTTGCTGGTGTCCTGCGGGGCTGACAGCGCTGTTAGATTATGGTTGGAGGGTATAGACCCCGCAATTATGACTTTAAATTGTGCATCGGCAGTATACGGCGTCGCGTTTTGTCCGATAAACTCTACTGTCATAATATCCATAAGCGGCAACGTTCTGTCAATTTGGGATCTTCGCCGAAAGAATCATATACCGTGTGCGGAGTATAATTTTCCTAATAATGTTGTGCTAACTTATATAAAGTTTTCCGCTTCGGGCGATAACGTTTTCGTCGGTGATACAACAGGTAGAGTTCACACATTCCACCTTAAAGACACACCCATACCTCCGTATTATCAACGGCAACTCTTAGACGAAGCTATCAAGAAGGCGCTATGCACCAGACCACAAATTCTAAAGCAATTAGAGAAACTCGAGAAGTTTAAAGATAAACATGGTACAGACACATAAAATCATGTCAGCTGAATGTTATATTTTTAGATACATATATAATAATTTTATAATATAATTTAAATCTCATATAAGAAGCTCATGAGCAATAAATAAAACATATTAAATTGTTTATAAATAACTTTATTAATTTCTTGTACCTATTAAACTGTTGTACCTATAAAATAATTAGCTTTAAATATAAATACAAGAAAAGCAAAATTATTAAATATATTTTTGTATTGGAATATTTGTAAATGCTAATCATACAATTGACTAGGACCTATTGGAAAGCTTTAGAAATTGGTATTCTTTTTTCAGTTCTTTTAGATTCGCTTCTAATATCGCCACCTGCAACAATAGCGTATGTGTAATTAGCCTGGGTACAGCGGCCGGCCCGTTTTTATAGGCCAACTAAGTATTTGCCTAGGGCGCTCGTTATTTGAGGGGGCATGGCAAAGCAAATAGATTATGCTTGCTCTAATGAAGAAGTATTTAAAAAAAAACGAAAGCACTAAAAAAGCACCTCGACTAGATGGCGACTTTAGCAAAAGTTGATGTTTGCTGGAAACGAATGGACCGAAGACAGTCATTTCCGTTCCTTTTAACTAACAAATTAAAAAACTGAAATTTGAATAGTTCGAAACTTGGATATCAATACAAATACGAAAAATTACAAATATAATATGAGTTGTTTATTGAGTTGAGAACTAATTTACTTTTAAACATGAAAGAAAACCGGGTGGGTTATCAGGATAAATCAAGAACGTACCGTAGCGACATCTAGTTTGATTTCGGGAACTAATTTTTTTTTTTAAATACTTCCTCATTATTTGAACCTTAAACATACGACTTTTGTTCTTTGAACACGAGTTCATGACCGCAGTATTCAAAAGTTCAAAATTTTCAGACCAGCAGTGCCTAAGGAGTTCTTTTGTCATTGGCAAAATTAAACTATTTAATCGGTCTCCCTACAAGTCTTTTATTTTGTTATGATTTTTTTAAGGCCGCCATTTCAGCGTTTTATCTTGGGTGTCAAATTTCATTACCGGGCTTCACACGTTCTTTTTGCATGTTCGGTTTCCTAATCAGCAATTCAGATTCAGAGGCTAGTGTGTGCGGCCAGGATTAAAAGCAAAGAGAATTACAATGAATATTATAATTAAAAAAAAACCCACTAACCTCTTCAAACCTCAGCTCCCTCCTGGCCTCCTTTATGTACCCTCTAATAATATTCATCTGCTCCAATAAAGGATCGTCGTCATCATGGTCTACCATCGCGGCTGAACTCGCCCCGGCGGTCTCGTTGGAGATCTCTTCGGCCTCCATCCGCTGACGCTCCATTTGGATCTGTTTCTCCGCTCGCTCGTAACGTTGCCTTCGTACTTCCTCTATCTGCGCCTCGGTCGGTAACTTGCGTAGGGATAATAAATCCTCCTACGAAATCGTAATATAGCTACACTCAAGTCATAAAATGTAAATTCGTCCAATCGATTTTAATCTTAAATTTATTTGGGTAAAGGGCTTAAAATCAATTAGGAAGTAAACTCTCAATCAAACTTGATGACAATATGTGTTCAGAATTTCCACTACCATTGTGCACCCCACTGTCTATTTGTCTCCACATCACCCTAAGTTTGACTGGTAGAAAATGCTTTATCCATTTTCTACCAGTCAAAAACAAGTCCGCCATTGTTAATTTGTTCAAGAAGTATTAATAAATAAATAAAAAGTAAAAAAAAAACTAAGCTCAGAATTATAGTACGCTGGGTAGTAATTATGTTTGAAGATTTTGGCACCCTCTTGAAACTGGCGCCCGGGGCCAATCCCCCTTGCTACTCTTAGATTCGGGCTTGATGTTACATTTCTCAGTGTTCATATAGATATAAAAGGTAATCCATCGTTAGTTTGATCTAGTAAGGGTTGAGTATTAATCTAAGAGAAAATAAGGGCTCATCATCTTAGTCGCTTTATGTTTGTGTAAAAATTCTAGTTCTAAGATATGAATGCTATCGTTGCTGTCCTGTCTGCAGTTATATATAGGGACATGTGTGTAGAGTCATGGATGGCACTGCCCTCTCCATCAAACTTCTGGATTTATTTCTGTGACTTTCTTACATATGAATAATCTACCTCTATACTTTATAGTTGGCCAAGTCGATACTAACATCATTATTAAGTGATTGTCCAACTTCATTTATGAATTTCATAACATCTAACTCATGCAGCGCAGTGGATCTGTATAATAATTATTAATCGTATAAATTAAATCATATAGAATTTCATCAACAACCCTTTTAGATCCTGACTGCAGGGGCTCAGACCTTCCTTATGGATGGTTAGGGAGGACAGGCCATGACCCTCTACACTGGCCCAATGCGGATTGGAGGGTATTAACGACTTCATACGCAACCGCGAACAACGGCTTAACGCACCTTCCGTTAAAGTAAATGTATGCTATACACATCAAAGTGCCAACACTTTTGAGTATATATATGTTTAATTATTTGAAATGCTCTTTAAATAAATAATAGCATTATCTCCAATAGAGTTACAAACCAGTGACTTTCACGCACAGTAAAAACTTAAGTATTTTCATTGACATATATTGGCCTCAGGCAGAGTACTTTGAGGCCTCAGGTTTGAATTAACTCATGTTTAGAATTTGTTAGCTTGAATAACTTCAATAGTATTACGGAATATTATTTTTTTATGTACATTTATATTAAACGAAAAAACTCGAGTATGTTCCGGGTTGGGAATTTTCCTGGGTTTGTTCCAATTTTAGGTTGTTATCAGGTAAAATCCCATACCTAGTTGAGCATAATAAATAAACATAGCATTGATTGAAATAGATTCTAAAAGTCATGTGGTCAACCTTGATATAATGCGCTGCTGCTTGCCTTATAGCAGCATGCAGGCGCGCCTCGCGGGTGCCAGGCGTGCTAGGATGCGCTGCAATCTGCTTACTTAGTAGATCGATACCCTCTGCCAGTTTGCCGATGCGTCCGCGCATCGCATTTACATCTGACAGATTATATGTTGTCTCGCCATCAAAAAGACTTTGACACATCTAAAAACAATACTTCTTTTTATGGAAACTAAATTATTCACTATTCTGGTAAGTAACTGTGAAACTACGATATCTAGCAATAAATAAAATAAATACTACAGATCAGTATTTTCCATACTATTGGTAGCAATCCACAGATGAGTCACTAATGAATATTGAGTGAGCCCTAATGGCCTATATGCCACTGTGTAAGACATATTATTTATATCCTCTGTTTTATAGGTCAGTAAATAGATAAGTCCCAAGTTTGGAAAGTTTAATTACATAATCCACAAAATTCATGAAAAAAATATTGTTAAAGTTGACCAAAGAGCATATGATTAATAACTTAAATAATCTACACATACTGATTAATTTGTTCAATTCAATTTAACTATTTCATTACACATAATAGGGATGATGACTGGGTAAAAAAAAATAGTTTTTTTTTTTTTATTTAGTCCTTCAGTCAGATAATAGAAAAATATTAGATACATAATTTTTTTTACTTCAATTAACAAGAAATAGCTTAGATAACAGGCATTAAAGTTGAGGAGTGGGGGCTCGCTACGTCTACAGTTGAGTAGAAAACGTACCCTAACGTGACGTCATGCAAAATTTCAACTTAATGTAACGCCGTAATTTTATGATTACGAAAAAAATACTTGTTTAATACTTTTTAACACTCTACCTGATGGACAAACAAACAAAAATATGTCATCATCCCTATTAATCTTTATACTGGCTTGGTAATGACTTAGATTAAAAAACAATCATTACTATTGTTAAGAGCTGATAAGCGTTATTGCGTCTATTCTTCATATCAGCTTAACATTCTGTATTTTGGTCACAACTACTATTTCTGCATAGTGGCAGGCAACTGCAGTTTAAATTAGATAATGTATAAAGATGTGGAAGTATTAATATTGGGTATGATTAAACCTCATAGAAATATAGAGGTTTTAAATATGTTAAAAAGATAACTTGTTACTAACGGTAACTAAACAATGTGTCGATTAATATGTTAGTATGTATATAAACTCCATATCATAGACTTGAACGTGGATTGAATAAGTATAATCTTTATTAGAGATATTTATTGCCAAAAACATTATTCTCAACGCAACTAAAATTTTCAGAATTCAACTGAATACTGCTCATGTTAGTAGTGATACTAACGCTACTCAATTTAAAACTGAAAGAATGATGTGAGAATGATTTTATGCATTGAAATGATGATATTTTTATAAATTTACTACATAAGTCTGGATAAAAACATAATAATCAATCAATTCCTGAGGAATGTCTAAATATGGCTCAGATCAACAAACCTAATTCAATCTACATACACAAATCACTGTTTATCACTCATGTAGTAAAACATGATAATACTTTAAATAATATTTACTTCTTTCATACATGAGTAAATATCACTAATATTTATTTTAAGTAGCAGACTTTCTCTTACCTTTTCATACATAGCAACAGCAGGTTTAGCTTGCTCCATCAAACTTCTCATCTGTTCATAAGCTGTCATGACCACAGTCTTTGCATTTCTGCTATCCTGAATCTGTTTCCTTAGTTCTACAAGATTGTAACAATGCTCACACAGTCTTAGACCATTCTTCTCTAAAGATTCTTGGTCTTGTACCTCAGCAGAAATTGCTGCTGATGGGTCAACAATGGCTCCTAAATATCAAAATAATATCAACTAAAGCTTAAAACTAAGTCTAGTATTTGTTTTGGTCATATTTATGTACTTTGTCTTATGTTGTAATATTTATAAAGATTTCATTAATTTAGAATAATTAACTTACTCGCTATATTCAAATCCAGGAAAAGTGAACAGTCATGACATAATATAGATCCACAGAGTCTACAGTGATGCTTTCTTCTTGTGATATTAAAAGTTTTTGCACAGTTTGGGCACAGTTTCACAGAAGAGCCATCAAGCCATGGCACTACCTTACAAATAGAAACAAATATTAGAATTACCTTCTAACTAAACTATATCCTACTATGGAGCAGATTAAAGTTGATGATTACATTTAGTTTCCCAGTTTCTAAGCTGTACAACCAATTACTCATTATTTATGACCATATCATTACAGCATTGTTACATTCACTTTATTTAATTTATGTACATAGTACTTACCTCTTGTTCATATTGTTTACGTAGGTTTGGTTCACTTGGCATATTACACACTAATTTGTCTAGTCTTATCAATAACTTATTAGTTTCAGTAGCATATCTCTCGAGTCTAGCTGATCGTACTGCTTTAAAATAATCCGTAGAACTCCGAGACACACCTATCACTTGTTCTTGTGAGTAATAAGCCTGCTCTTGGTAATTAAACTTTAACGCTCTGTCAAACGTCTCTTTCAAGTCGTTTTCATCATTGTTGAGTATTATTTTCTTGGCTTTTCCGAAGATATCTTTTAATGATTTAAGAACATCTTGTTCTTCCTGGTGGAGGCTTTCAAAGTGGCTTGTTAGCTGCGAAGCAGACTTTAAATCTGCTTTACAAATAGGGCACAAAAAACCTTCTAGTATTTCATCTTCGTTAGCAGCTGCCATTATTGCAGGTTGATAAATAATCTAAATGAGCATTATTCTTTAAATTGCATTTAAAATAACAAGTTAATAAAGTAATTATCAACATAAAAACTTCGTATAGTATGTAACTCCCCTTCGCTTCCGTATTCTATTAGTAATTTTATTTTTGACAATGACAATGACAATAATGTCAAATGTTCGTTTTGTTTTCTTTTTACAACGCGAAATCTATAAATCTTAGTTACTGAAAATCCGATTTTAATAATCGGTTTTTATGAAAATTGCTTTGTATGAAATTTTAAAATTATTAAAAAGTCTACAATCACAATTTATATTGGATAAATCTACAAAAATCAATAATAATAATCGAGGGGTCGAGAAGAGTAAATTATCAATATTATGGATATTCGTAAGCGAACGAACCACATCGCGATTTTCAACCCGGCGCGCAGTAACGTAGCTACCAAGGGGCTAGGCGCGGCAATGCCCCGGGGCCCTCGAATCTTTACCATAAAATCTCAATCGAACTCAACTTTTGAAATTAATTTCAAAATAAATATGACAGGTGACAACTCGAGTTTAATCATGGCAACTCAATTGTGAAAAAATTCAAAGTTATAAAAAGGGAATTCCCCAAAATTATTTGTGTGGGTTGACAGTGTTATTAATGTTTTCATCAATTTGTCGGATATCAATATCTGCATATTATTATTTATCGATATGCGTTTTTGTGATTCGCGATTGTGAACTTCGCGTCAAAAAATTTTTTCGAGAATGGTTAAAAAGTTAATGTATCAGGAGTAAGTAAGCGTATTTCAATAAATTTTTTGAACTGGTCCATACAAAAGTTCAATTTTATTTTATTATAGTACGTATACATAGTTAAAGAAATTTATAGATTTCGGCTACTCACTATATAACTCAAAATATCGTGAAAAATACAAGTCACATGCGGTAGGGGGCCGTCCATTAATTACGTGATGTTTTTTTGTCATTTTGGTAACACTGGCGGCGATAAAATGTTTGCCGGGGATCCCCCAGTGACGTCTCGTATCATCACGTTTCGCTTTCCTTTTACCTGTAAAATAAATTAGAAAACTAATATTATGGGCAAAAAAAAGAAACCCAGATGCATTTAAACGCAAACAACGCCAAGAAAGAGAAGAAAGTAAACAAAAATTGCCCAAAACAAGTTTTTTAGTCAGCCTTCTGCAAGTACATCTGGACAAAATATTTCTATTGATAATTTTTGTAAATAGCTTGCATGGCGATAGGTTAAATAACAGTAAGCTGGTGCAACGTATCTATGAATAAATAAATATATAATAAACCCTTGAATCTTTTCTATTTCGTTTTATTGCCCAATACCTACACCAAGTATAAAAATAATTGTAATTTATGTTGTTAGTGTTTAATAGTTTATTACCTGCCCATGCACGAAAAAGAGCTGATGATAAAGTTGCTTAGCATTTTTAAAGTATTTGTATATTTAATGATTTTACTTCAAAAAACCTTATCAGTTTTGATAGCCGTGGGCTCCATTTTTTTATTTGCCCCAGGGCCCTAGGTTACCTAGCTACGCCACTACCGGCGCGATTTCTTTTTCGCGATCGAAATGGCACCTAGTAAGAGTCATTAAAGGCGCATTTAACTACCTACAGACACCTAACATTACCCGATTTCAAGAAATCCTGGCCATGCCCTTACTACAGGTAATACAAAATAATGGACTCCCTTACGCTCTGACTAGTGTTGAAAACACAGAAATAAATGTAGTGTTGAAAATCGTTGAAAGTTTCGGGACATTGAAAGTTTTCAGGAAAGTTTCGGAAAATTTTCCTAAAAACATCCGATATATGTGAAGTTTAGAAAGTTTAAGCGATATAGTTATTTCAATGTTGATTTGATTTTCTTATTGAGAAATAAATACTATAGGTATACGTTAGTATCGGAAATTGAGTGGTTTAGAAAAATTAAATCATAAATATTATAAGTCATCATTTTCATTTTCCCGGGAATCAATACAGCAATAATCAAATTTGCCTTAATTAAGATTCTGAAGAAATAACATTCGATGATTGCTGTGTTGATTCTCGGGAAAATAAGAATAATGACAAGTTTTCCTTAATAGAATTAGGGAAATGGAATCAGCGGAATAGAAACAATTTTTTTCATAAATTTATTGTAATTCGATTCTAAAATTCATTGTGATTTTGTCGGGAGCTGTCATCTTGAATATTAGTGTTGCTTGAAGGCCAGTTATACCCTAATATAATGGAGGTAACTATTTTGCCACTTGTCGTAATCATAGACGAGGGTAGTCTAATTATATTGTATGTTTCTTGCTCTGGAAGACTGCACTAATTGGTTGTAAAGAAGTATAATGACCTGATGTAAGCATAATCAACACATAAGTGTATACTAACGTTTTTTTATATGTCAATAGAATCTCAAGTACTTGCATTTTGCCATTGTACTATCTGAAGTCCATATTATTGTTTTTTTGTTACCATCATGTTACAATTGATATGTTAGGAAGATAAAGCATTAAAGTACCTGAAAGAAATCGTAGTATTTAAAAATATATATGATAACAATTCCATTAAACGAAAGTTATTCGTCATCTTCAGCCCTTTTACCTCCCCCTGCAGGGACTCAGACCGTCCTTATATATGATTTAGGAGGATGGGCTATGAGACGAATCCGGATTTATGTGGATTGGAGGGTGGGTATTAACGAACGACTGCAAATTTAACTTGGCCAACGGCTTAACGTGCCTTTAGAATCACGAGGCACCTCGAGATAATAATTTTTCCTAATAATAAAAAAAAAATCCTATACCTTAAATGTCCCCAGGAATATTCAAGTGACAAAATAAAACAAAAAGTTACTGCATGACAGATTTAATATATTCCGTAATAGTATCGAAAAGTTCCTTAAGTTGTTGAACTATATCCTCTGTTCCCGGCCAGGCTTGTTTCTCAGCAGCACGCAATACTGCCTGGCCAGTGAGACGTGCAGACGACAGTTGCTGATCACATTGCGATATTTCCTTCTCTTCTGCTTCTTGTCGCGCCTTCATACTTAGCTCTAAAAGATTCTGTGCAAGCTCGATCACTTGTTTGCAAGTTTCTGGGTTGTTTGACCAGTTACCACTCTGAAATTATAAAAAAAGCGTTATATTGTGTTTATTCAGTCAATTTTGAAAAGTAATGTAAAAAATTTAATTGTTTTTTGTATTAGAAACCTTTAACTTATTTTGGAGGTATTTGCACATGTGCAAACAATAATGAATGAATACACTGTATTGCACTAAAACAAACAGAAAGGCAACCTTATTGCTAAGGTAGCGATTTGTAACTAAGGAAAAATAAAGCAGGGTATATACCATGTTATATGATCGGTATGAATTCGATTACTGATAATTTTCATTTGCATCGATCAATGTTGAAAGAGTTCGTCTTTCGTATCGTATGGCCCGATTCTTGTTTTTTATTGTTACTGTTGTATGATTACATATCTATATGAAAAATCTTTGGTTTACCTGTGTATATCCCCGATATGCTTTCAAAAGGCGTTGCGCTTTTAATAAACACGTTGGACTTAAATCAGAATACAGTTGCCATATCTCAGGTTTGTTCTGTGTTAGGGCGGTGATTCTACCGAATAACTCCAACACTCTTTTTCTAAGCCTGTAATTTTTTTTTTTATTTAGCACATAATTATGCTCTTCCAGGTACTAACATTTTAAAAACGGATATCATAGAAACGTGATGAAATCTTTTATCCATTAATCCATTAACAATTCAGAGAAGCAAGCAGACATGGGGGGAGGGGGGAGTGCAGGCAGGAGCAGGCACGCGGGGGACAGCAAAATACTCATTATAATAAATTTAGAAAGATCAAGCCTAGAGACGAGGCACTTAGATAGGCTACTTTGAAAAAAAAAAAATCTGACACATAGCCAGACAATATGCTGTAATATTTTAATCAAACTGTTACCTTGCTGTACTATTTCCCTCGGCGTCTTTATGATCTTGTATGACGGCCCTCACGAGTAGAGAGAGAAGCTCCACATCATCAAATTTGTTCCTAAGGTCGATAATCCTGTGGCAACCGCGGATCACATCATCGAAATGTCCGGTGTCCATACTTACTGTTATTACGTTCTCCCATAACTGTGAAAATAATTATTATGAGTTGTGAATTTCTAGCTCCAATTTTTTATAATATTGGAATTAAGAGTATGTTTTATATAATAGGGAAAAATAATCATAGTTTTATATTTATGATAAATTTATATCCAAATTAATGAAATAAAAAAAAATACCCAGCGCCGAAAAAAATCAATAACAGTTAAATGAACAATGCACTGAATTTACATTTTTTTGCAATTTTAATAATTATTTCCAAAACAAAAAACAATGTTGAAAAATATTTACATAGATTTTATGCTAAAGGAATACTGATCCTTATAAAATATATATAACACTTTTTTTAAACAGACACATATTCCCTGATAATATTTATCTTATAGAAATGGTAGTTAAAACTTTGGACCTTCTCATGTGCCTGTGAAGGGAAGTGAGTCACCCAGTTAACGAAAGGTTACGGATTCAAATTCTTATGAACTTTTCAAAAAGTTATTTTCTATATAATTTTTTTATTACTTTGGTACAAAAATCACTTATGACTCAGTTACTAATAACAAGCCAATACCAATAGGTCCCAAAAATAAAATACGTAAAATCATATAACACCCAGTGAAAGTTCGGCTGCTTTCTTTTCGATAATAATCTAAAAACATAATTTCTCCAATAGGAATGACGACAATTTTTTGTTTGTTTGCCCGTCAAGTAAAAACAAAAAATATTATTGAAGAATATTTAAATACGTCTTTTTTATTTTTTGCTTAATCAATATATTACGTCGATACATTGAGTTGCATCGTCGCATGACGTCACGCTTTTGTACTTTTGCTACAAAACTGTGACGTAGCGAGCGAGAGAATTTTAATGCATATTATCTAAGTCATTTCTTGTTAAATTGCAGCATAAAATATATAATATTTTTCTACTATCTGACTGACGGACTAAATAGAATTTCTTTCTTTAACCCAGTCATTGTGCCTATTGACCCTTATACTATAGAAAATAAGGAACAAAATACAACCTTCCAGTTATCATAGTTGAACCTAAGTGATTCCATGAGAGCCCTATAGGCCCTGTTCTTGTCGCCCTGGTTAACATACACCTTGGCTAGATTATTCCACGCCTCGAACGAGTTCGGTTGCAGATATGTGTACCGTCGGTACGCCTTAGCTGACGTTTCCCACATCTCCGTCTTCAGCGCTGCGTATCTGAATAAGCAACGTTTTATATCCTATCGCGTAAAATATAGTCTATGTCACCTGCGTAGTATGTAGCTTTCTGTGTGAAAGATTATTTAAAATCAGTCCAGTAGTTTCAGAGACTAAGCAATTGAAAAAAGTGAGAGTAATAAAATCACTTAACATATATATATTACACCCAACTGAAGAGTATATTTAAAAAAATTAAGATTGTATGTATTAAAAATAAATCGTTGCACAAAAATCACGTGATTAATGATCTCACTATCATTATTTATAAACAACACAATTTTTTTTTTCTATTTGATTAACTTAAAAACAAATAATTAAAGTTAAAAAAAAGTCTAATAAAACTATCTCAGAGTAACAAAAATCGCAGTTTGATTTTAATAAAAAAAGTAACACTAGTTTTATTAGATTTGAAGGAATCTCAACATTACCACCTTTCACTCAATTATCTTTATTTTTTAAAGAATTTAATTATCTTTCCGTCAAATAAAAAAGAAATACAATTAATTTTTGTTCACCCTAATCTCAGCCAGACGCTCTCTTGTATGGAGTTGATCTCGACTGACTTCTCGTAATGCGGAATGCACTCGTCATATTTCTTGTGGTCAAACAGAAAGTTGCCCCAATGTCTCTGAGCCCGACTGCTTCTGTGATTCGAGAACTCCCACGCTTTCTCGTAGCAAGATATATCATCTGAAAAACAATTAAGACTAACATATAAATTTAACCGAAGTTACTGTGTTAGATAGTGAAATTTCAAACTCGTTCTCAAGTAAAAAAAAATATCACTTGAGTCTCTATGGACTCAAGTTATCGAGTCAACTCGGCGCATTGAGTTGATTCTCTGCCCACTATATGTAGTAACTTTAATTTATTTAAATTAATATATTTTTATTATTTTGATCACTAAGATAAATAATATGTCAAAACTGTTTACGTTGTATATTATTTATATTATGCATAAAATTCCTAAGAGACATCATTCAAGTAGCACATTTGAATTTTTTTTACTCAAGTATGACTCGATTGAGGTACTCAATTGGTTCGAGTCCATACAGTTCTCTGGGTAAAGATCCTTTTACATTTACGCATTATTAGAATTATTTTAATTAAATGGACATGTCTTGAATATTATTATTATTTTGACGTTTGAAACGTAATATGAGTTATAGGGCACATCAGCATGATTGTGCTGTGCTCATCTAAAATAATGAGTTTTTGATCTTGCTATTGTGAACGCGTTAATATTGTATCCCTAGGGTTTCTTTAATCAGAGAAGGTAACTATTAAAAAAACAAATAGATCTAAAGATGAATATCTTACCAGTGGCATCTCCTAGAAGGCAGTACAGTTTCACTGTTGGATTGACCTCAATCTGTTGTCGAATAATTTCAGCCGCCTGAGAAAGAAATATACAATATGTGATTGACTTCATTCTCTCAGTTTACCATTTATGAAACATATATAATAAAATATATATTAAGATAGGAACACTCCGTACAGGGTTGCACTGGGTAGTGAGTTTAAGTTTTACCTTAACAACTCACTAGTAAGCAAAAAATTAATATATTGAAAAAGAATTTTGTCCTTGGCAAAATATTACCAGCATAAAATACATATTTCAAAATATTATTGTTTTGAAACAAATTATGTATGAACACCGGAAGAGAATCCCTTACGCAGCTATGTCTATACCTAATCGCCGTGCATCGACGTCGAGGTCAAGCTGACACGAGTTGCCGACGCTGCAGTTTACACCACTTAAGCAATTATAATATTTTATATTCACTCTGATTTCTAACATCGAAACGGTCATAGGTTATTTTTAGATGTTAAATTATTTTTATAAGTATTTTCCTTTTTAATTAAATTTATTATAATAATTTTGGTTTTTTTTCGAACCTCCGGCTGCAGTAAACGTAATTGGCGCAGTCGGTAGGATACTCGCGGGCTGTATCCTTGAAAAACGTGGACTCTATCTATCGTTTCCGCGATCGCGTGTCGCCCGGGCGGCTTTCTAGCGCCGAAACCGAGTATCCTGAATCTACGGACCCGCTGCAGACCAGAGGCGAATCTAGAAATCGATTCCAGAGGGAAAACCAGATGATGCTGTACATGTAAGTACACTTGAATTTTTCTCGTGTTGCTTTCCTTTAGTCCTTATCCTTAATATTTTTAGTGTTTCAAAATTTTTCACCCAAGAAGTTTGAAAGTACGGCAACCTGTATCACAACAGGCTCGCCAACATATATTAGATTTAAATAGAGATATAAATTTAGAGTTAATAATGGAAAATCAATTACATACCCAAACCCAGACAGCTACTCCAATCAGTAGTCATAAAATGGATACCGATACAATTTTTAAAGCTTTTCGTCTTATACCGGAATTTGATGGTAATCCGAATATACTAACGAGATTCATTAATATCTGTGATCGAATAGTGGCTGAATACGTAAAAGAGGGACAGGAAAATTTATTTAACAATGTTTGCTTATTGAATGGTATATTAAATAAAATTTCGGGTACTGCTGCATCGACTTTAAACTCAAACGGAATACCGGAAAGTTGGCTAGGAATCAGAACCGCCTTAATTAATAATTTCTCAGACCAACGGGACGAGACAGCCTTATATAGCGATCTGTCATTAGCAACCCAGGGTAATAAATCTCCACAAGAATTTTACGAACATTGTCAAACTATGTTTAGCACCATAATGACATATATTACTTTGCACGAAACTGTTAGTACAACCGTAGAAGCAAAACGCGCCTTATATAAAAAAGTAGCTATGCAGGCCTTTGTAAGAGGACTCAATGAACCTCTAGGGTCACGCATTCGTTGCATGCGCCCTCCTACCATAGAGAAGGCCTTAGAATATGTCCAAGAGGAATTGAACGTAATTTATTTACAGCAACGCGGTGATACATCTAAAAATCATCATAGCCATAAGGTGCTTCCGCAACCACCACCTGTAACAATGGCAGCCCCGCGACCTCAGTTTATGCAATTACCTATGTGGCCAACTCCCCTTGGACAACGTGGATTCCAACCACCACCACAGCTTTTTAAATTCAATAACCAACCAGTTCAATACCAGCAACGCATGGGCCCAACTCGTACTCGGCAAATGTTTCGAGCTGCACCCCCTAATTATAACCCCCACAGTAACGTTTTCCGTATGCCACATAAAATAAATACACCACAGAATATAGCTCCCAAGCCCATGAGTGGTATTCAAACTTTTACACCTCGTCAATTACCCCACACTATGATGGCTGGACACGATTGGCGTAAGTCAGGCAATCCTCCCCCATCAAATTATTTTAAGACTCGCGAAATGAACTTTAACGAATTTTATAATTATGATGGATCATATTACCCTACTGACTATTATGATGAGACCGATTTACCTTATTACACAGGAGCCTCTGACTACGATTACTATAATGAACATCCTTACACTATTGCTGAACAAATTGATAATACTACTGACGGGACTGACGTGACTGATATAATCGAACCTCAACCAGGACCTAGTAACGCGAATCAGGATTTTCACAGGAATACGCCATCAAAGAAACCAAAATAGAGATAAACCTCCAAACTCAACGACAATTACCTTATATACAAATTCTTGACCCTCCTTTGAAATTTCTTATAGACACAGGAGCAAATCAATCTTTTATAAGCCCTAAAGCCGTCAAAGAGTACTTTAATAACTATCCTCTGAATTATGACCCTTTCGAAGTGACAAACGTACATGCCACCAGTCGTAACGAGTATTCTATTACATTACCATGCTTTAGTGAATTTAATGACAGTGACTGTATAAAACTTTTTATCTATCAGTTTCATGATTATTTTGACGGATTAATTGGACTAGATCTTCTTACTAAATGGGAATCTAAAATAGACTTGAAAGAAGGGAAGCTTGTTACTCGATCATCATCAAACCCGATTAAAATGTACAATTCATATAACGTCAATCTTTATGAAGATATAATCCCTGCACAATCATCTAAATTAGTTAGAATTCCGATAGATACTCAAGATGGAGAAGTTTATATAAAAGAACAGATTATTTGTAACTGTATAATTCACGATTGTCTTACAACAGTTTTCAATAATCGCGGTTACTTAGAAATTGAAAACCCCACACCTAATGATATAATTTTTTCACTAGATCGACCAGCACATGCTGAAATATTTAATGTTAACTTCGAACGTATTAACCAACACAAAACACGCACCAAAAATGTAATCTCGCGTTTACGCACAGAGCATCTCAACGAGGAAGAAAAGGCCAATCTTATAGCTCTTTGCTCTCAATATTCTGATGTTTTTTACGTAGACGGCGAACCTCTAACTTTTACTAATAAAATAAAACATCAAATAAGAACAACCGATGAGATACCTGTCCATACTAAAAGTTACCGTTACCCGTTCGTACACCGCCAAGAAGTTAGGGATCAAATAAATAAGATGCTGGAACAAGGTATAATAAGACCATCCGATTCAGCTTGGAGTTCTCCAATCTGGATTGTACCAAAAAAGACAGATGCATCGGGCAAGCAAAAGTGGCGACTTGTAGTGGACTTCCGTAAACTTAATGACAAGACCATTGACGATAAATATCCAATACCCAACATAAATGACGTACTTGACAAGTTAGGGAAATGTCAGTATTTTAGTACTTTAGACTTAGCAAGTGGGTTCTACCAGGTTGAAATGCATTCCCAGGATATTCCTAAAACAGGGTTTAATGTAGAACATGGGCACTATGAATTCCTTCGTATGCCTATGGGACTTAAAAATTCACCATCTACCTTCCAACGGGTGATGGATAACGTCTTAAGAGGCCTCCAAAACGAGATATGCCTGGTCTACCTTGATGACATTGTAGTCTTCAGCACCTCACTCCAAGAGCACATCGTCAACCTGGAAAAGGTTTTCCAAAGACTTAGGGAATCAAATTTTAAAATACAAATGGATAAATCAGAATTCCTAAAACTCGAAACAGCTTATCTTGGTCATATCATTAGTAAAGATGGAATCAAACCTAATCCCGACAAGATCACAGCAATAAAAAATTATCCAATCCCAAAGACACCTAAAGAAATTAAACAATTTCTAGGACTTCTCGGTTATTACCGAAAGTTTATCCCAGACTTCGCTCGAATTACTAAGCCTCTTACACAGTGTCTAAAAAAGGGAAAGAAAATAACATTTGACCCCGAATACGTAGAAAGCTTTGAAAAATGTAAAACGCTACTTACAAATGATCCTATATTGCAATATCCCGATTTTAACCGAGAATTTCTTCTAACTACAGATGCATCTAATTTCGCTATTGGAGCAATACTATCCCAAGGACCCATAGGATCAGATAAACCTGTTTGCTATGCCTCTCGTACTCTCAACGAGAGTGAACAAAATTATAGTACAATTGAAAAGGAGCTTCTTGCTATAGTTTGGGCTACTAAATACTTTAGACCATACTTATTTGGAAGAAAGTTTAAAATATTGACTGACCATAAGCCTCTACAGTGGATGATGAATTTAAAAGAACCAAATTCTCGTCTCACTAGATGGAGACTTAAACTTAGCGAATACGACTTCACTGTTATATACAAAAAAGGTAAATCTAATACAAACGCTGACGCTCTCTCCCGCATAGAAATCCATAATGAGGAAATAGAGTCAATAATAGAAAATCTTAAAGAGCTTAGTTCACTTATAGGAAATCCATCTGAAAGTGTACGAGAAGACGTGTTAGATAAAGGATCGTCAACTGAAACAGCCCATACTAGTAACGAACACCCTATTTTAGAAGTACCTATTGTAGACGAACCATTAAATAAATTTAATAGACAAATATTCTTCACTATGGTGGAAGACATCACACGTAGGCCCATAGTAACTAAACCTTTTGAGACACATACGCGTATTGCTATTCAATTATCAAAAAATAATTTAGAAGAAGATGTAGTTAAAGCCATTAAAGAATACGTCAATCCAAAAGTAAAAACTGCTATCATGATACACCCACCTCTTGCCATGTATTCAATAATTCCAATAGTACAAGAGAAGTTTCGTAGCTCATCTATGAATTTAGTACTTACCAAAGTAGAACTAGAAAATATTAAAGAATACTTGCGTCAGCAAGATATCATCCGATCATATCACGAAGGCAAGACGAATCATCGAGGAATACACGAAACTTATTTAGCGCTCTCACGAAAATATTATTGGCCCAAGATGAAAGATCATATTTCTAAATTTATCAATGAATGTACAGTTTGTGGACAGGGTAAATATGACCGTAACCCTATTAGGCCCCAATTTAATATAGTGCCACCCGCGACTAAGCCATTTGAAATAATTCACATGGACTTATTTACAGTTCAAAACGAAAAATACATTACGTTTATAGATGTATTCACTAAATATGGCCAGGCATACCATCTACGAGATGGTACAGCAGTTAGCATCTTACATGCCTTACTAATGTATTGTACTCACCACGGTGTTCCATTAACTATTGTGACAGATAACGGAACCGAATTCACAAATCAACTTTTCGCAGAATTCGTTAGACTCTATCAAATAAATCATCATAGAATACTTGCACATTCTCCAAACGACAACGGTAATGTCGAAAGATTCCACTCCACACTACTTGAGCACCTTCGCATTCTAAAAATACGAGAGAAAGATGAGCCTATAGTTAATCTTATGCCCTATGCTATAATAGCATATAATAGTTCCATCCATAGCTTCACCAAATGCCGACCCTTTGATCTATTAACTGGACACTTTAACCCTAGAGACCCAATTTCAATTGATATAACGCAACATCTTTTACAACAATATGTAGAAAATCATAGAGAGCGAATAAATCATGTTTACGATCTCATCAATGAGACAGCCCTTAACAAACGTACAGCTATCATAAATAACCGTAACAAAGATAGGGAACCTGAAGTAGAATACACACCGACACAACAGCTAGTCCAACAGCTAATCCAACAGCTAGTCGACAAAAAACCGCTCCACGATTTACACAAGATACGGTATTAGCAGATCTACCCATACATATATATACGTCCAAAAAACGTGGACCCGTTGCTAAATCACGTATTAAACGAATTCCTCATACAGCTAAATTGTTACAGAGTGATCTTGGTTCTGACCAGCCAAGCGATGGGCGCTCAGGAGATAAAACTTGAAAGCCTAGCAGAAGGACCAGGACTACTGCCTTATAAACTTGGCACAGCTAGACTTATAGAACAGTATCATACATTTTTACAATACATTGAACTGGATGAGCTTGAGAACAACATTGACTTAGTACAGACTCAACTACAGACTTACCGTTCCAGACTCCCTAATGACACTTATCTTCTGTATGAACTGCAATTAGAATATCTTTCGAAGAAAATTAGTATAGCACAGATTCAATTAAATTCATTAGAACCTAATAGTCGTGTTAAACGAGGACTCATAGACGGACTAGGATCATTAGTTAAAAGTGTTACCGGAAATCTCGACCATTCAGACGCTATTAGATATAACAGACTCATTAAAGAATTACAAAATAATCAAAATAAAATTGTATCCGAATCCAATAGCCAAACCAGTCTTAATAAAGAATGGATGGTCAAATATAATACAGTTATTAATGAATTAGTTGAGAACCAAAGTAAAATAAATTCAACCTTAGAGCTACTACTAGATAAAAGTACATATATGGATAACAGTCTAATAAAGTATGCTAAATTCGGTCAACTATTAGATATACTTAGTGAAAATATAGAAGAGATAATGATAGAATTAATTAGAGTAGAAAATATGTTAGCTTTTATTAGAGTAGGTACTACGCACCATTCCATGGTTACTATAGATGTTCTAAAAACAATGTTGTCTAAATTAGATAAAATATATAATAAAGAACAAATTTTAAATATAGCGCTTAGAGAATATTACGATGTTATTAAACCAGGATACTATTACATAGGAAAACAAATAGTAGTTATTTTCAAATTCCCTATTGTTTCCCGAGATGAGTTCGAATTCTACAAACTGTCCTTAGTCCCTAACAAAAACGAACAAATTCTTATACCTCCTTTTCCTTATATGGCAACCAACGAGAAATCATTCGTGTACATAGAGGCTGAATGCCCGAAGTTAAGTTCCTGGTACCTCTGCGAAAGGAAGATAAGTACCCAGCTTCGAGCACAACCAGACTGCATACAAAAGCTTATCATATCACAAACTTTCAGCGAATCCTGTCAATTTACTTCGGTGTCCCTGGACAAGGAAGCTTTGGAGAAACTTGATGACCAACATTATGTCATATCCTTCCCGAATTCAACCAGAGTCAGATTAGCCTGCAGCAGCCAAGACACCACAACCATACAAGGAAGTTATTTAGTCACGATTCCAGTTAAATGCTACCTGCAGACTGCCGAATTCAGAATAATCAACGAGAACGACAAGATCAACGGCCAGCCTCTCAAACTTATGAAAATCCCTTACAGCGATTCGATTACAATCAAACCGCATCACCTAAGGTTGGACACAATAGATCTACAGGGACTCCACAGCATCCAGACTAAAATCCTGATGGAACCACCCCTACAATTGGAGAAGACACAGGACAATATATATCATACAACAATACCCTTTTATATAATAGTCCTCATAGGCATCATTATTCCTGCTGCAACCCTTCTAAGCCGCCGCTTCAAGATATGGCAAAATAGAAAACATATTGCTCATCCTCCAACTACCAATGAACACAACTACGCGGATCCAGAAAACCTGAAACAGGATAACCAGAGACATCCAGCGACATTTTCACTAAAGGTTCTCAAATAGTCGCTGCTCTCGGGGTGGAGGAATTATGTATGAACACCGGAAGAGAATCCCTTACGCAGCTATGTCTATACCTAATCGCCGTGCATCGACGTCGAGGTCAAGCTGACACGAGTTGCCGACGCTGCAGTTTACACCACTTAAGCAATTATAATATTTTATATTCACTCTGATTTCTAATATCGAAACGGTCATAGGTTATTTTTAGATGTTAAATTATTTTTATAAGTATTTTCCTTTTTAATTAAATTTATTATAATAATTTTGTTTTTTTTTCGAACCTCCGGCTGCAGTAAACGTAATTAACAAATAATATTTGATGTAGACTTTGGGGCTAGAACACTATGGAGAGTGGGCATTCCCCTTTAAATACCAATTAACCGGAATATTTTTATAAAAATATTCCGTAACTGTTTTATTGTTATCATTGTAACTAATAAAATGATTAGAATAGAACATAACAGAATAGAAATACTTTTTTAAAGAAATATTTAACTAATAAAATAAATATTATATGAAAGCACAGACCTTATGACGAAGTTGTAGCATAGTATAGCAAACAATGATATCTTCCCAAAGTTGTAGACGCTGGTACTCCTCTAACGCAGCCTTCACCAGTCCCATACTCAGATACAGGTCAGCTAACTGCTGACGCCACGTCCACGCGGGCGATAACCCTGTCGCCCACAGATATGATAACCTGGAAGACGAAATTATCTTTAATTAAATTAATAGCATTAATAGAACTTTTGAATAGTTCTATTTTCCCCCCATTCATTACGTACTTCTTTTAGCTGTAGAAATGAAAATGCGCGACGAACTTCACAATAATTGTGGTAGAAAATTTTTGTGGTAGACTTCCGAGGTCTCGTAGAAAATGATCTTTCCAACATTCTCAGGTGTGGGTATTGTCAACTCAAATCAGACAACGAGACCTATCAATAAGGCCAACATGAAATAGGCATGACAACAAATTTTTGTTTATTTGTCTGTTAGGTAGATTGTTGAAAAATATTAAACAAGTATTTTTTTACATTGAGTTAAATGTCACATGACATGAAATCTAAGCTATTTCTTAAATTAAAGTAAAATATATATGTGTCTAATATTTTTCACTGACAGACTCAACAGAATTTTATTACCCAGTTGTCATCCCTATTGTATGTTTAAATATATGCATAATTTAATCATAAAGTATTTTACTAATTTGTTTTGATATTGATTTCTGATATTTTCTCTCCATAAATTAATAAAATATTAAACAGTTTCATCGCATTTATATTTAGTTTTATGAGGTTTCAGGCTCTTTAAATTTCTATTACACATTATTTCTATACACATTAATTTTTCTAATTTGCGATAGGTATAGTAACAAGAACTGTTAAAAAAGCTATGATGAAAACGCCATTATTGCAAAATCAAGCCTTGGTGTTATCTATATTTTATTTAGTGTTCTGGTCACCTGGACAAGACCAACAAACAGTGATGCAGGTTTAGTGCATAATATTTGATTATTATTTTGTTTACGTTTGTTTATTAGAAATGATATACATGTGATATCTAATGGTGAAGCAAAGGTTGGCCACCAGATATAACAGCATTAATACAAAAAAGTAGGCAAGGCTATTAGCTTGTTTAACCCTATTATAATGTAAATCCCAGGGTTGGTAATTATCAAGATAATTGTTTTTTGGATGATTATTGTGATAAATTATCATCATAATGAAAAAGTTGTTTCAAATTATAAAAATTACCTGTGAAATCACATTAAACAAAAAATGAAATTAAACATAAATAAAAAAAAATTATAAAATGGGGGCTTCTATTTTTTTTTTTTGTTTTTGTAAGTCTATCCTAGACAATATTCTCTATCAGAAAAAACTTATTTGATAGTTGTTTAAAATTAATCTCTTTTAATAACAAGTCCTAAAGTATAAAAAGAGTTTGTAGTGTTTTATAGTTATCAAAGTATATTTATCAAGCTAATTATTGTGATAATCATCTTAAATAATTGTCAATGATAATTGTCACTCCCCCCTGATAAATATTATTCTTAAATAATTAAATTCATGGTATTTAACCTGTCCGTTGGCTTGACTCCAGTTTTATCATTCACAATAGTCTCGCATTGTAACATCGCACGCTCTACTGTTCGTTTGTGTGTCGCTTCAAGCCGACACCGGATAAGAAGTGCTGTTACGCGCGTTGACCATGGACCTTTCTTTTGAGTCAATATTGCTTCTATATACGGCTGAATTTCCTCCAACATCAAATCGTCTTTTGGTTGTGATTTTTGTAGATATTGCCTGTGGAAAAAGATCTGTATATAAAACATGAATAATTAATTAATCTCATTAAGTAAAAAAAAATTATTACACAGTCAGTAGACATAATGTTTGCTCTAAACTTGGCAGCTCAGATTGTTTGATTCGCTCAGAGTATTGAATCTTATTCAGTCTAACATCATCTTGGAGTTCAACATCAGAGGGCAGGACAGAGTTGCCATGGCTCTCCTCTGCTGATGGACGTGTCACACTCTCGTCTAACTCACTAGACAATGCCAATTGTGGCAGTGCTTCTTGTTGGAACTTTGTTCGTTTACCTAATACACCTGAAAATACAGGAACATTAGTATTATTTATTAAGATAAAAATTATAATAAAAAAGAGAACATAAAAATTGATATACCAGTAAGTTCTAGCTTCAGCCCAGCTATTTCTCGTGCCTTAATTAAATATTCTTCAACCTTCTGAACTCTGCCATAGATTAAATAAGTCTGAGCAATCTCAAGGCACAACAATATTTGAAGACGGGGTTTATCTTGCATATTCTGAAGCTCATTAGACAATTTTGCCATAATCAACTCAAGTTCAGAATATAAAGTAGCACTGTTATCATCTAATACTCTTTGATGCAAGACCTTACTACGAAAACACCACCACAGGTATACCTATGGGAAAAAATCAGTCATATCATAGCTGAAATTATTAAGTCCTAAACAACTGGAGATGCTAAATAAAAAGTTTACCTTTACCCTGTTTATCCTTTATATAATAAAAATCATTAAAAGAAATTAAAATTAATTTATTGTTAATGAAAAATGCTTGACATTCCGCTTTGTCCCTGGCACTCTGGAGATGGGACTCGACACATGACCTTTCACAATTCAGGCAACTGCTCTAACGACTGAGCTACCCAGGACTGATGAAGTTTTCAACCACTTGTTCCATTTTACTACTACAGAGCGTATTTTCATCAGGCAATCTACCCAAACACCCGAAAGTTTTCTTTTTTACAAATTTATATTCTATTTACACAAAGTAGATAATTATTTTTATGCACTTACCAAATTTTGTTCTACTGAATAAAATGCAGTAAATATTTGGTGAGACAAATATAACAACTCTGGATGCAAAATATTATCATATAAAGGCTCCGAATCACGTTGCAGTTTCAGCTTAATATCTATATCCTCAGGCCAAGCAATATGAAGATATTCTTCTAGAATAAGCTCTTTCGGATGTGGGTTCCAATTTTGTTGACAAAAAGACAACAAAGAATTAATTGCAATACATAGTATACTTTCTTTATCATTACAATTTTCTATAATTTTTTTGATAACTTCAGAATCAAGTCCAGTTGATACAAGTTCTTTACACAGGTTTTCGTTTTCCAAAGTCCAATTTCCAGACCATAATTTATTAATATGATCGTGATCTGAAATTATTTATTATATTTAAGAAAACGTGACGTATAAAAAGGTGCAACAAAATGAAGACATTCATAATTTACCTATATTAAATTGCTCATCAAAATTGCACAAATATAATAAAGTGCTACTGTCGTACATGGTGTATTTATTTGTGATACTAGCTGTTAACTTAAAACTTTAAGGTGTAGTTCCCTTTATTTATGTTAAAAACATAACCTGTCTTTTTTCACACACAATGTAACTTTTTTTCATATTATACACAGACTTAAAGAGTAGGTAATATAATATAAGAACTACATATTACTACTATTATAAAAACTACTCTTTGGAATAAGCGATCTCCCTGTCACTGTCATTGATCTGTCATATAATAAGGCTTTATGGGGAACAAGGAACAAGTCCATATTGAAAAAAAAAGGCTTTATGGCTTAAGTAGTAATAGTAGTAGTTTAGTCCATGAGACAGGCGAAGAAAAGACTTTATGGCTTTATATTTATTAAACAGCTGTGTGTCAGAAATATAATGGTTTTTGGAGCTAAAATCACGCTCAAGTGAGATTTAGGCTCTCGCGCGTATGGCCAGAGAGAGTACGAGTTCCATCTTATTTTGTGTCTTGCCTTATGAACATTCGTGATTCTTTTCGCTCAAGCGAGTCTTATATATGCGCAGTAAGAATCTACGTACGGTCTTCTTCGTTAGTCTTTAAAGCTCTAAGAATAACTAACGCTCATTTGTTAGCATTCGTTGGCCCAGTTTTAGCTAACAATGTTACGAGATGATTAATAGGGATGTTCAAATATCGTCGATATATCGAAAGTACTCGATGTTTCCATACGATATATCGGATTGTTTCGATGTTTTGAAAAATATTTTTCTATTCGATATATCGAATATCGATACATTTATAACACAATATCGAATCGATTAAATAACGTTGACAGCTGACTTATGATGACAATAAAAGCTAAAGTAAATTTTAACATTACAACATTTTCACTTTGATTTTTATAACATGACATCAAATTTTCAGACGTCCTAGGGCGAGTTGTACTCGGTAGCTAAGTCTTGCCAAGCCAATTATATATATAGTGATAAATTATGTGAAAGTCGGCAGATGTATGACCGGGATACAAAAAAATTTCAATTTGAAATAAAAAAATTACATGAATCAATAGAATTAATACAAAATAAATATTTAGTTGCACAGTCTCAGATTGATGAGCATATTAGGTCTGCCACAGAGTTGGTTAACCTATGCAATTACAATGCTGACCGTTACCATTCACTGTTAAATAATAAACAATTAATTAACAAAACAAATAACAGCTTTAGTAACAATAACAATAATAATATTCAGAAACAATTTATAAATACAGTTACACAGAAACCCTGTCAGTCATCTGCCCACCAGTCACAACTGTTTACTCAGGTACCTGTTCAGTCATCTGTTACTGATGACTGCTCCCCATCACAATTTTCCCAACGTCACAGAATAAATTCACAAAATTATAAAAATAATATTTTAATGTTCAGTGATGAAATTGGCAGAAACATGGGCCGTTTGCTATTCGATAAGGGCCATTCAACATTAAACTTCTGTATGCCTAATTCCTCTTTTAGTGATATTTTGGAAAAAGCAATTAAACAAAACTACAGCGAAAATACCACTTTATTGTTTTTTATTGGCAATAGAGGTACTTTGAACAAACATAAATTATTGAAATATATAAACGAATTAAATTCATTAAGTGTTGGGAAAGTCGTGATTTTTACGTTGCCGTATTGCAATAGTTTGTCCAATGAAGAAAATAATTTGCGATACAAATTGAATATGACATTGCACACTATATGCAATACTGCAAAGTTTCATGTCATTGACACTAACAAGTATGTTAGAAAATTTTATTTGACTAAAGATAAATATTATCTTTCCAATTATTATAAAAGACAAATAGCTATTTCGCTATCATATTTTTTTTCTATAACAGCCAAAAATTTGGCTAACCAGAGTGCTCCTATTGAGTACTCTTCTATTGACATGACTGTCAGTAATAATCCTACTGACATTGCGACAAATTCGTCTTTAAATTAGATACTAAGACAACAGAGGATTCCTCTTGCTTGCTATTTAATAGTCAAAGTAATAATGGAACCAAGAGTTTTTCAGTCATCAACCTAGTGCACCAAAATGTTCAAGGAATGTTGAGTAAAGAGTTAGAAGTGGAATTATTCATGAACTGTAACAATGTTGATTTTTTCTGTATTACGGAACATTGGTTAACAAGTTATAATTGCATTTTTAACTTCAATAATCACCTGGTTGGTAGCGCGTTCATTAGGAAAAACGCAATGCGTGGTGGCGCACTAATTTTATTAAATAAAAAGTTTAAATTTAAAGAACGTAGAGATATAGTGAGCCTATCGGTTGAGGAAATAATAGAGATTGCCTGTATAGAGCTGGACCAGCTGATTGTACTGAGCGTATATAGACCTCCTTCAAGTTTAGTTTCTCATTATGATCTCTTTGAAACTGTTATGGATGAAGCATTAAAAAAGGTATATAGCAAAGGCAAACGATTAGTGATTGGGGGTGATTTTAACGTTGATTTATTAGGAAACTCCAATTCATGTGCAAGACTTGTAAATCTATTTATGTCCTATAATCTTGCGCACATGTTTAAGGAGCCTACTAGAGTAACTGCTACTTCGTCCACATGTATTGACAACATTTTTACAGATCTAGTACCACTTTCAAGACAGATAATTAAACAACTACCGTCAGATCATTTTGGACAACTAGTTAGCTTTCCGCATAAATGTACGTTTGTGGCTAGGAGAGACATTACAGTTGTGTCAAAAAGTATGAGTCGCTTGGAACGTTTTAAAAATCAATTAAATAGTAAATTGTATCATTTGAAACATAATAGTAATCCCAATGATTTGTACAAAGATTTCTTTGATGTTTATTGTACAGAATTCAATAAGATTTTTGTCCCAAAAAAAATAAGTATTAGTAATCCTATATGTAGAAATGATTAACTCGACATTCAAGGAATTAGCTTTTATTATTATTGTAACAAACACACTACTCACAAAGTACAACCTAGCCAAGCCAGCCTCCATAGTTCCATCGATAATCTCTAACCGACAATATAATATGCGCGGGCTGTCATTAGTGTTGCCCTACCACAACATCCTTCCTCTCAAGATTTCTTTATAATTCACAATCATAATCACTTAAATATCTAGGTCTCTTTCTTATTCTACGTTTCATCAACTCTTCTTGAATTATACAATTATTATCCTCTGTAACACTGGAAAACTGTTCATTACTATTGCTTTCATTATCACTACTTTCTAATAAACTATTATTATTATTTAAATTTGTTGTTATTTCTTCATCTCCCTGACACTTATTATTACAATCAGATTTACTGTTTTCTTCCCCTTCTAAAAATTTCTGACCAAAGCCCATTTCTGAACAAACTTCAGACTCTTGTTCAACATTTGTTGATTTTACATTAGGTTTATTTGAATTGAAAGGCGCTGGAATCAGATGCCATCTATTACGTCTATAAGTAAACCCTTGAATATCAATATAATAAGATCTAGGTTCCTTCGCCTTTCTTACAATCACACCATATTTTCTCAGGTCAATAACCCAAACATGTTCTCCTATTTGCAAATCACTTAGATGTGAACTCTTATGTCTATTATTATAATTAGTTGCCATTCTATTTCTAAACTGTGACCTTTTTACTTTAAATCTTTCTTGTAATTTTGCTTTAACATCAAGTTGATCAGGATAAATAGGTAAAATTTCTTTCAATTTTCTATTAAATACTAATTCATTAGGGCTATAACCAGACTCACCAGGAGTATTTCTGTAAACCAGAAGTGCCAAATTAATATCCGTATTTTTTTTCAACAACATTTTCACAATTTTAACTGCAGCTTCTGCACACCCATTACTCTGTGAGTAATAAGGACTACTTATAATATGTTCAAAATTATACTTGACAGAAAAATCTTTAAATTTGCTTTTAAATTGTGGCCCTCCATCTGTACGTACTATGTCAGGTATGCCGAATCTGGCAAATGTCTCTTTACATTTAGTTATAATAGTTTCTTCTGTTAAGTTAGTTAATTTAAATAATTCAATAAATCTCGAGTAATAATCAACAATTACAATATACCAATAATTATTAAACTTAAATAAATCTATTCCCACCTTCTGCCATGCTCTATTGGGCACATCTTCTACTATCATTGGTTCTTTTAAATTGTGTCTTTCTTGTATACATTCAGGACAGTTTTCAACTATAATTTTTAATTGAGATGATAAGCCTAACCACCAAACACTCTGCTTTGCCCTTTCCCTGCACTTGGATATACCTAAGTGACCTTGATGAATATCTTGCAATACTAATTTTTGTAAAGCTACTGGAATAACTAATCTAGTGTTGTAAAGTAAATATCCATTCTTTACTGAAAAACAATGTCTAAACTGATAATACATTTGTAAAAACTTAGGTACATCCTTTCTGTGTGGCCATCCCTTTTTAGTATATTCGGTAATTTGGCAACAAACCTTACATTTTCCTTGTTCTATTTTTATTTTATTTAATTTATGATCACCCACCCCTCCATACTCAATGCTATTTATCTGTAGATCGACCTCCGGCACTGTGCAGGGCAAGGGTGAGCGAGATAATGCATCCGCTGTAACTAATTTTTTTCCTGGAACATAAACAATGTCATATGTGTACCGCATTAATTGTAATCGAAACCGCAGTAAACGAGGTGTTAAATCATCAAGAGGTTTTGATTGCAATATTTGCAACAAAGGTTTATGGTCTGTCTCTAAAAGAACTGTTATACCTACAACATAGTCTCTGAATTTGTGAACAGCCCATGCTAAAGCCAAACATTCCTTTTCAATCTGAGCATAATTTTTTTCTGTTCTATTTAATGTTCTACTTGCAAATGACACAACCTCCCTTTCCCCTTTAGAATTTTCTTGCATCAATACTGCCCCCAAACCATAAGAACTACTATCTGCAGAAATAATTACTTTTTTGTTAGGATCATAATGACATAATACTGGTGCTCTTTGAATCAGCTGTTTTATTTTGTCAAAAGCATTTTCTTGATAACTCCCCCAATAATATAAAACCCCATCTTTTAAGAGTTCATTCAGTGGTTCTAATATATTTGACTTATCTGGTATAAATCTTCC